GAATGTCTTGTTTTGATAATACAGGTACGAATATCACCCTCTGGTAATTAACGTACGAATGTCTTGTTCTGATAATACATGTACGAATATCACTCTATGGTAATTAACGTACGAATGTTTTGTTCTGATAATACATGTACGAATATCACTCTATGGTAATTAACGTACGAATGTTTTGTTCTGATAATACCGGTACGGATATCACACTCTGGTAATTAACGTACGAATGTTTTGTTCTGATAATACAGGTACGGATATCACACTCTGGTAATTAACGTACGAATGTTTTGTTCTGATAATACGTGTACGGATATCACACTCTGGTAATTAACGTACGAATGTTTTGTTCTGATAATACCGGTACGGATATCCCACTCTGGTAATTAACGTACGAATGTTTTGTTCTGATAATACAGGTACGGATATCACACTCTGGTAATAAACGTACACCTGTCTTCGTTTGATAAAACAGCTACGAATATCACCCTCTGGTAATCAACATACAAATATCTTCTTCTGTTAATACAGGTACGAATATCACCCTCTGGTAATAAAAGTACGAAAGTCGCCCTCTCATTATACTGGTACGAATATCACGCTCTGGTAATAAACATAAAAATATCTTCTTCTGATAATACAGGTCCGAATATCACCCTCTGGTAATCAACATACAAATATCTTCTTCTGATAATACAGGTACGAATATCACCCTCTGGTAATAAAAGTACGAAAGTCGCCCTCTCATTATACTGGTACGAATATCACCCTCTGGTAATAAACATAAAAATATCTTCTTCTGATAATACAGGTCCGAATATCACCCTCTGGTAATCAACATACAAATATCTTCTTCTGATAATACAGGTACGAATATCACCCTCTGGTAATAAAAGTACGAAAGTCGCCCTCTCATTATACTGGTACGAATATCACCCTCTGGTAATAAACATAAAAATATCTTCTTCTGATAATACAGGTCCGAATATCACCCTCTGGTAATCAACATACAAATATCTTCTTCTGATAATACAGGTACGAATATCACCCTCTGGTAATAAAAGTTCGAAAGTCGCCCTCTCATTATACAGGTACGAATATCACCCTCTGGTTATTAACGTATGAATGTCTTGTTCTGATAATACAGGTACGGATATCACCCTCTGGTAATTAACGTACGAATGTCTTGTTCTGATAATACATGTACGAATATCACTCTCTGGTAATAAACGTACGAATGTCTTGTTCTGATTATACAGGTACGAATATCACACTCTGGTAATAAACGTAGTAGGGTCGCCCTCTCATAATACAGGTACGAATATCTCCCTCTGGTAATAAACGTACAACTGTCTTCTTTTGATAATACAGGTACGAAAATCACCCTCTGGTAATTAACGTACGAATGTCTTGTTCTCATAATACAGGTACGAATATCACCCTCTGGTAATTAACGTACAAATGTCTTGTTTACATAATACAGGTACGAATATCTCCCTCTGGTAATAAACGTACAACTGTCTTCTTTTGATAATACAGGTACGAATATCACCCTCTGGTAATTAACGTACAAATGTCTTGTTTACATAATACAGGTACGAATATCACCCTCTGGTAATAAACGTACGAATGTCTTGTTCTGATAATACAGGTACGAATATCACACTCTGGTAATTAACGTACGAATGTTTTGTTCTGATAATAGAGGTACGGATATCACACTCTGGTAATTAACGTATGAATGTCTTGTTCGGATAATACAGATACGGATATCACCCTCTGGTAATTAACGTATGAATGTCTTGTTCTGATAATACGGGTACGAATGTCACACTCTGGTAATTAACGTACGAATGTCTTGGTCTGATAATACGGGTACGAATATCACACTCTGGTAATTAACGTACGAATGTCTTGGTCTGATAATACGGGTACGAATATCACACTCTGGTAATTAACGTACGAATGTTTTGTTCTGATAATACATGTACGAATATCACTCTATGGTAATTAACGTACGAATGTTTTGTTCTGATAATAGAGGTACGGATATCACACTCTGGTAATTAACGTACGAATGTCTTGTTCTGATAATACGGGTACGAATATCACACTCTGGTAATTAACGTACGAATGTCTTCTTTTGATAATACAGGTACGAATATCACCCTCTGGTAATTAACGTATGAATGTCTTGTTCTGATAATACAGGTACGAATATCACACTCTGGTAATTAACGTACGTATGTCTTCTTTTGATAATACAGGTACGAATATCCCCCTCTGGTAATAAACGTACGAATGTCTTGTTCTGATAATACAGGTACGGATATCACACTCTGGTAATTAACGTACGAATGTCTTCTTCTGATAAAACAGGTACGGATATCACCCTCTGGTAATAAACGTACAAATATCAATTTCTGATAGTATAGGTACGAATATCACCCTCTGGTAATAAACGTACAAATATCAATTTCTGATAGTATAGGTACGAATATCACTCTGTGGTAATACAAGTACAAATGTCGCTCTCTCATAATACAGGTACGAAAGTCTTGTTCTGATTATACATGTTCGAATATCACTATATGAACTATACTACAGATTAATATGCATGGGAGTATACATGTGTGGGGCCGTAACACCTCGCAGGTAGGGCTAGCCCCCACCCTTGTGTGATCCAGACCAACACATGTATCCTCCGCGTTTATAGTTTGTATGCTACAATGAATGTCTTAACTGCATGTACTTTCAATTACAACGATACATTGATGTCTAAACATAGTCATGTATCAGTATTACGTACCACGTATAAATACAATTTATCATAATTTACTTGGCTTGTGCAAATCAATATACAATCTGTTTATTGAAACCTTTTAGGTATACTCTAAAATATTCTATTATTCTACACTTTATATACACATTCCTATATGTTAAGTGTATATTTATGTAATAGATATTATGTAATCGTGTATACATGTACCAAATGCTTTGTATATATGTTCCACATTACATTGTAATCTTCATCTTTGGAGGCAATACGAATAATGTTTGTACACATGTTACCCCTTGAGGAGGAACACGCGGTTTCTTTGGTTACAGAGCTGTTGACTCCCGATCTATGTTAGCAGCAAATCCTTCGTTTACATATGATTTAGATTTCTCAATGACGTAACCACTGTGACGTCGCCGTCGGCATCCGTTGAATGCCGGACACATTGGGACGTAACGCCAGCAAGCCATTTTGTCCAGGAGTGGCTGTATGAAGGGAATGTCATACACGGTGCTGCGTTTCTCATTTCCCCCTGTCACGCTTGTGATTTCCCGCCATTTTTTTATCCCACGCTCCTCATCCGTCCCTATAACATTTACATAGACCCGTTATTATAAGTCATGGTTTTCACCTCAACAGCAATGACTATACAGAGTTCTCGAATATGCAATATAAATGACAATTACGTATGATTGAATCTGATGTAGGTATGTGGGCATCGCACAGTGATTGAGAACGAGCCAACAGCACTGTGAAACACGTAACGTTACTTATACAGTGTGCGTTACATCACCCTCAATATCTGGGGGTTACGCTCACTTACGCTCTCTACACCCTGGAACATGTCATAGTAAAATCGAAGGCTCAGTGTGAACCATCTTGTGGGTGAGACAAGAAGACTAGCTTGATCCTCTGATGTACACCAAAAGAATCTCGCGGCCTCGTAATGGTAAAATTGACTGGCTTTGAAATCAGTATTACTCCTCTGTAATCTTCAAAGGGCAGGTATCGGCCGAATGACTGGTCATGTTTTCTTACCCGAGATCAATCAAATAGCGAGTCGCGTGCCTTGAAGTTTGCTATGACATATTCCAGGACTGCAGAAAACGTAACTGAGCGTAACATCTGGAGCACCGAGGATACACTACGTCACGGATCAGTAAATGGGATTGTAAGTGATACGAATTGTTCATTTCCGGGTCTGTGTGTGACCCGAGATAGATTACGTCATTTACTTTGAATTGTCACCTGGATTCCTCACATACCTGGGACGGTGTTGTCCAGAACAAGTCCGACCACGCCCCCAACGAACATGTTGGTTCCAAGTAACACCGACAGGATCTGGTCGACCACCTCGTTTCCTACAGAATACAGCCTGGTATTACTACTAAACAACACATCTAACAGAACCTGGTGATACGGTATTAGACAATTATACATGTTTAATTAACAGAAAATAAGGTGATTATAACGTAAAGGTTACAACATGACCGTCTATTTCCCACCCCGTATCAAGTCTTCTTTCGAGCTGATATAAGTCGAGGATTGATACAGGACATGATATGGAAATTGTCACAAAATAACATTTTAACAAGTTAAAAAAACTACCGATTGCGCATGCAACGCTACCGGTGTCGCGTTTACTAAAACTAGACACTTAGTCAAGGTCTCGAGATTTATCTCCCCTTGCTGTTTTGGTATAATACGATTCACATTTTGGTGAGGTAAATTCCTGTTATGATAAGGGATTTTATGCCTACTCCACATAAAACTTAAAACTCAACGCAAATATATAATTGAATAAGGCCATCATAAGATGACAATTTATTATAATAACATCATGACACAAACTATGAAAATGATGTTTACTGTCAATTTACATCCTTAGGATGGGATTCGACTGAATTACGCCACAAAGTGAACAATAGGAAGCTTATTTTATTTATATGCAGTCGACACATCGACAGCCGATATCTTACCTGCATCTATACTGACATCGACAACCGATATCTTACCTGTATCTATACTGTTCGGGTGATCTTTGATCCAGACCGGAAATGAAAGGCCGAAGAATAAGGACGTGCCGAGCACGAATATATTCCGGGACGATGACAAGTCTACAAACTGTAGATTGGACAATCCTACAGACACCACCATCCCTGTAAAATGCACACCACGTGACCATGATACAAAATTGCGATTGGACAAATCTCAGACACCACACTCTTTGTAAAAGGCCATCAATAACATACGCGATATACACACGTCACAAGTCGATTGGTGACATGAGCTATGACACTTTAAATGTACATGTAGTCATGAGTATACATTTATAAAATTAAAAACAGATGAAGTTATCTTTCGTTTTCAGACCGAAGTAATAGTAAATACATAAAATGTACTTGAAATAAACTAAATATTTGGACCCTGCCCTGTACCTGATCGACATGTCGTATGATACCTACATAATCACCAATCAGAATCCACAACAAATATCGGTGTGAAGGCATCACACAGGTATGCCATGACATCAGACGTTTACACGAAGTGGGGGAAATGAAAACAACTTTTGTTGTATATCAATATCTTAATATGACAATTATGCCTCCATACTAGACTAACGTTTAAGTGCTTGCAGTCGATGCTTCTCTAAAATGACGTCATACATACCGAACATGATGAGGAACATTCCGCCGATGACGGGATCGGGGATGGTGACAAACAATGCCCCGAACTTGCCCAGACATCCAAGTATCAGCATCATGCATCCTCCAACCTGTACCACGCGCCGGCTACCCACCTAGTTAACAAATGACCACATCAAAGTCAAAATGTAAAATTATATGAAAGACTTCAGCCTTACATATTTTTCAAAATGATCACATGCGGCATGCGACAGATGTAACTCATCATGATATCGCTACCTTTGTAATGCCAATTGCGCCTATATTTTCGCTGTATGACGTCGTCCCACTTCCGGAGCCCCACGCACCTGCAAGGATACAGCCAATTCCCTCCATGCCGATACCTGAGGGTAGAACAGTAGGAAACCATTGAACGTGACAAGTTTGTTCTGTCGCTATTTACATATCATTAGTAACTATCTGGTAGCCATAGACGTAACGGGCAGATCAGGAGGGTCGGGATGAAGGGTCTTGGGGACCCTCCCTCTTTTGAAATGAAAACTGTTAATTAATCATAAGCCGCAACACATCTACACATTTCTATGAATAATCATTTCAACAATGCCAGGAATTCCAGAACCTAAAACCCTAAAACATCTAACAATACTCCCTACATATCAGGATAGGTTCACCACGAAACAAGCTACACTACTTATAATTTATTCTTGGGTCCATGTGGTTGTGGGTTACAGTATGTGATGTCGCTACCGAAACTCGATTAAAACCAGAGTAACCTACCCCTGTTGACAGCATGATCGGGAGGCGGTGGCGCTCCGGATAATCGTGCGCATGCGATGTAGTCTCCGACAGACTCGATCATGGACGAGATGACTCCTGCTAGCATACCGAACACGCCCGCGGTGCTGACAGTGGGTACTCCCCACTGACCTATAATACAAACATTTATGATAGACATATAGGTTATGTTCTTTGTTCCTTCACGCCATCGAAGTCGCCTGCTGATTGAATGGACAAAACAGGACAAAAATAAGGAGCATGGACACGGCTTTAAAATGACCAACCATACTGGATTTGATATAGTCAGAATAACAATTAACCATACAGAGAGGTATCAGCTATGTTAAAAATAAACGAACGATGCCGTTCCTCTCCCCGACCCCAAGGTATTGAAGCAATCAAGACTAATACCAAAAAATTGATTGTTGCCCACTATTTCGGCGATATAAAAAATGCAACTTTACCTGTATATATATACAATGTACACACTTTTTGTGTGGGTATATTGCTATTTGGTATTACGATAATTATAATACAATATGACAAACTTTCCATCAATTTCCATGATGGACTTGAGCCTAGAATTGCTTCCTGTTGAAAATAACTCACCTGGATACGGAAAGCGGAACCATTTAGAGTCCCGAAGGACATCAAGTTTAGTGTCTGTCCGTGCTTCGTATCCCCAGCCGTTCTGGTCGGTCGGAAAGACTCCGGCTGCCGTCAAAATACCGCATATCCCCCAGGCCGACATCATCGCAATCAACACCTGCAATGTCAGGCTCATTTTATAATCACTCAAAATAAACACGGGGTTATTATTTAAGTACGTATTTTGATACGATGTATACGATGTGCTTTCAAATAATAGTGAAATGCTAGCTTGTACCTTAGTTATCACGGTTATAAACTGGAAAGTAATCATTTTAACTTTAAATTACGTTTGTATTATTATTTCATGATATCAGACATACAATGCACCACTGAAACTTGAAGTTGAAACAAGATTTTGTTATACATTGACATTTATTTTCTATACCGAAGCTAAATAACGATCAATGGCAGGAGGTCATCCTGATGAACTAATACTGATATTTAAATTAAAATGAATACGAGTTATCGTTCTTACGCCGTATTTTATTATTATCTTCAAGGTATGCAAAAAACCACTGGCCATGCACTTACCGGAAACAGTTTGAAGATAGGAAGTTTATACGACCCACATCTAGGTAAAGTGATGTTCCGAAGATACTGTGAAAACAACGCAATCAGTACCATAGTCCTGTAAAACAACGTGAAGAGCTGATCATAGGTGCATGTCTGTTCAGATTTCTTACAATATTGGGATTTATTTGATAATAAATAAATCAGTAGTGTTGTTACACTTTGAAAACGAAGGGAGTAACCTCCCTCGGCTTTCTTCTTGCAAAGCTGAATGGCTATGAGCTGTCAAAGGGAAAAAAATCGTCAACTTTCAGTCGTCTATCAACGACTTTTTAGAGGTTTGACTGGACAATCATCAAATTATAAGGAATTTTATTTTACAGTCATGTTTTCTGAATTTTCTGAAATTTATGATAGAAGATGGTAAGAACCACCCACCCACCCCTCTCTCTCCCCCACTCTAGCTCTGACCGTTCTATGTGGCGTGCTTGGATTATTTTTTTTCGATGAGCTATGTAAAATTAACCTATAGTTTGGTACCATAACGTTTCTCGAGCTAAAACGGATATAAAGGGGTCTTTTGTGACAGAGGGGTTGTCTCGGAAACAATCTACGAGCACGTGCTCCGCGTCTCTGTTCAGTTTTTGGACGTCCGATCTCTTTGTTGATTTAATTTGGTGTACGATCGCTTTACTGTATATAGGTTACACATTCCTTACGTTCATCTCGGTATTAAGTGTTAAGTTTTGTTTTTATCTTTGAATAGTGATATGAAAACCTAATCCAGGAAATCTGATTTATTCCGTATTATGATCTTGAAACGGGCCAGGCTGGCCTTCTCCAAAAATATTATTTTTTTTGCACAGGGGGGTCAAATTAAAACCCAAATATTGTGGGCTCCTGTAACAGTATCAGTCAGGCTGACCACCAAGTAATGAAAACTCAACATATTTTGGCACAGCAGTAGCTACTGAGCAATGAATAAATGCTGCTCTGTATTTTGTTAGTAGGATAAATGTATGTACATTGTACATGTCAAATATTAAACCTATTGGTTATTACTTTATGGGGTTCAGCATACCTGGTTTTTATGTTTTTTTGGATTCTATTCCTGCAGCATACTTGCTAACACTCGCATTGCATAGTGATTTAGGAAAGTATCCAAAGGTAAAGGAGTTCGCCCAGGCAGATTGAGGAGGAGGAAACAACCCTATGGCCGTGTTCCCGCAGGAAACAGATGTTGCTCATGAGCAGTTGGCAAAGCAGTCTACATGTGGTCATGGTGGAAAATTTGAACAGATGTTGGCTGTTTCAAGGTCACAGCTGAAACAGCTGATTGATGGCAAAGTACAACACAGGCTTATAACTACAACCCAAGGTCATTTAAGATTCATTTCGGATGGTCAGTATAAATAGTCATTGGATAAAATGGGCATGTTGACTTGAATGTTAGCCAATCCCAGTAGCATTGATAAACAACACAAAATAATTGATTTTGTTGATGGGGAAATTAAAATCATTAGCAAGAGGAGTTAAGAAGACCAATGACATTCAGGCATGGACTGACATCTTTATAGTTTTTATGTCTATTTATATTTCTGTCCATCCGGAGGAAGCCATACCATTGCTGAAGTATATAAGTATTGTTAGAATAGAGGAATTAGGGAAGGAGGCAATGGCTGGATAGAACATGATCAGCAGTTCCGACTTAAGAAAGCAAGGGATCAGGATATTTCTTGGGGTGTTGATGATTATGAGGCTGCTAATAAGGTGTGAAAAGAGGTACACCTTGGCCGGATTGCTGGCCCTTTCCATTGCTGGCCTATTGAAACCATGCATGAAGTTTTAGGCACTGTGCAAATAATGCTGAGTTATGAATCGCCGCCTCAAGTTCTAGTAATTCATTGTGGTGGCAATGATATAAGTAGTTTATCCTTGCTAGCATGGGTCCTTTAATACTCTTAGCGCTCTGTTGCCTAGTACTTGTATTGTATCGACCCAAATACATCAAAGCAAGTGGAGATATGAAAGGCCAGGGGGTAATCTGAATAAACAGCAGAGTGCGTATAAAAGTAAGGTAGCTACTGACAATTTGTCCAAAGAGGTGGGTATAAATGTATAAAATATCACGAGTTTGTTTACATCAACATTGCATTGTTTTCAGGAGACCAGGTCCATCTTTCAGGACTTTCTATTTCCAGTATTATTCGCAGCAAAGTCTTTATTTATGTTTCAAATTGTCTCCGCAAGTATTTCCTTAACCATACATTAACCGAGGTTCATAACAGTGGCGATTGTGGTATTGTATGCTTCAGCAACCCTTTTATCTTATGACAGGGGTTGTTGGAGTCGTTCACGGTAGAGATTTTCTATCAATTTGAGCATTTGTTGCTATTTATTGTGAAATGCAATGAATTTTTGCATATTGTAGACAAAGAACCGTTCCTTGGTCACGGTAGTGATTTCCCTACCATTTTGATCATGATGTTGCTATTTTATTATGAAGTGCAATGCTTTTCTTGCCTATTGGACACAAAGAACTGTGTCTTAGTCAGAGTTGTTATTTTCCTATCAATTTGATCCTAATGTTGCTATTTATTATTCTCACTCAAAGAGTTGGCAGGGGATACAGAATTGGGGTTCGTCCGTCCATCCATACGTCCGTTCGGTGACTAAGTTAAGGAGAGTTGATCCTATCTTCATGTAAGGTCATGGGGAATTGCTCTCGGCTTCATCCTGCCTACTACAAGTGCTATGTTGATTATACTTGCATCAATTGTGTGTCTAGGGTCGCTCTACCGAATGGATATTGCGGATGCTGATATTGACATATTTTACACTTCATTAACTTGGTTAAGAAGAATCACTCTCATCTTTATCTTGCTTACTACAAGTGCTATGTTGATATTACTTGCATCAATTGTGTATCTAGTGTTGCTCTACTGATTACATATTGCGGATGCTGATATTGACATATTTTACACTTCATTGACTTGGTTAAGAAAAAGTGCTCCTTATCTTCATGTAAGGTTACGAAGAATCACTCTCATCTATTACTTGCCTACTAAAAGTGCTAAGTTGATTATACCTGCATTAATTGTGGTTGCTCTACTGGATGCATATTATGAATGCTGATATTGACCTATATTTTACGCTTCAATTAATTGACTTGGTTAAGAAGAATCACTCTCATATAAAGCTTGCCTACTACAAGTGCTATGTTAATTATACTTGCATCAATTGTGTATCTAGTGTTGCTCTACTGTATGAATATTGCGGATGCTGATTTTGACATATTTTACGCTTCATTGACTTGGCTAAAAGAATTGCTCTCATCTTCATGCAAGGTTAAGAAGAATCACTCTCATGTATAGCTTGCCTATATACTACCAGTGCTATGTTGATTATATTTGCATCAACTGTGTGTCTAGGGTTGCTATACTGGATGCATATTGCGGATGCTGATATTGACAAATATTTTACGCTTCAAGTCATTGACTTGGTTAAGAAAAAATACTCTCATATATACCTTGCCTACTACAAATGCGTTGTTGATTATATTTGCATCAATTGTGTGTCTAGATTTTGTCATATTTATCTATTTGAGGTGGTCCAAACAGCCCAATTTTGTTGGTGGTAACCTCTTGGTGACAAAGCCATTGCCACAATCGCCAAACACAGATAAGTATCGGTTGTTGTTGACAATTTGTTGATGAATCTCATGAAAAAGAAATTAATAAAATAAATTGAATTTATTTTTGACTTTGTTATCTCTGATAATTTGCATTATCAAGAAAATCAAGAAAAAGATGGCGGACGTAATGGATGTTATAAACATGTACTACTGTTGAAACTTACATGACAGCAATATACCACTGTTTGGATGCTAGATCAGCCGCCTCCGGGAACAGCCCCAGGCCAATCAGTGCCACTGTAGGGGTCACCGCCAGGGGGCCTATAAATCTGAGAACCACGCCCATCAATCCCGAGAAACCAATCACAACCTGGAACAAAGACGCCACCATAATGGCGCCCTGAACCTGGAAACAGAAAACATGAAAAGCTACGACCAGCATTGTCTATGTATTCTAAAGTTGGACGTACTTTATTAAATGTTATTATTTTTGCAATGTATCGCACATTGTCAAATATTTCAGCTACAGAAACAAGAAGCATGCCTTGAGAGTAAACAAGATATAAGCCCAACTCCCATTGTATATAAATTACAATAAAATATGTTTAAAACAAATATGTTCAATTGATAATCAAAAGTGCAATGCATATGCAATGGGTCATTTTCGTGGTTAATAGAGTTGTATTGAAATATTTCTAAACTGTTATCATTATCTAGTGAATATGTACGAGCAGAACATTGGTTTGCATTTACAAAAAAGAAGAAGATAAAAGCATTGCATTGCAAAGAGTATTGTTAATGGCAAATTCATATTTCATTGTAATTTCAAATGTTTTAATGCTTCTAAAATTTGTTATATGATTTTGTGCTTTCTCTTCAAGATACACTTCAACTGTTGCTGACAGTGACTTACAGTAATTTTCGCGATCCAGATTCAATGAAGAGATATCGTTAACTTGTTCTCTTCTACATTCTACTAGTTTTGTTGATGTATTTAGTCTTTATATTTTATTGGGGTCAAGATCAAATGTTCTGCGTCTTTATCTCATGTTTATCTCGATTGAAATAAATAACAAAAATATGCCATGAGCATGCGTGTAATAAGATTCCGTCTACCTTCATCATTTTAAGCGGTCATAAACTCACAGACAAAAGAGATATGCGCCATGCACTCCGTGCAACAGACGCTTAATATGAGGTTTTCATTCAGATTGCATTTATTTCTACACACTTCCGCAATACCACACAAATAATTAAAACTTTGCTAGATTTACCTCGCGCAAGCGCATATGCCATATCTCCTGGTGGCCGAGACTGCCGTATGGTGGCAGGTCCGTAATGTTTCGGAGTCCTAAACGATAAAGGATTTAAAATATAACTTTATAAAAATATAGATACAAAACCGTGTCCATTTCATATCTTCTTCCATTTCGGTATTGTTCAGTATTTAAGATTTTAAAACACATTTAAACAGAAGCAATACCGCCGGATTCCCACTTACAGGGGGTAATGTGAGTTAGTGGGCAAAAGGGTAAAGGATGAGAAGTAAATTTAGAAAAGATATTAATTGATGTAAGGAAAGAGGAGGTGTGAGAGGCGGGTTAAAACGGATTGGCCGAGATCGATTGAAAACCTACCGTTTGCGGCCTCCGTGTACTCGCACGACCATTTCGGGAGGGACAGCAGAGCGAACGTGGGCGTGAGGAACGTGAAGGAGCCTCCCTGGATGATCGGCAGTCTGCAGCGTAACGCAATGTTAAAGTTGTCACATGCCATTTGGACAGGGTGTAAATATCAGTGTTTGAATATCGCGCGCTTTCCAGCCAGGTAACTTTAACAGGTAAGTTACGCATGCGCTAATAAGTGTACTACAGGTGAGAAGGGCGGACATTACGGGTGCGGACTGTGTAGTGAATGTTGGAGCGCAAATAGCTGCTTGCGGTAAGTTTAAACTTGTTTAAGTTTTATCAGATTTATTATAACAAATGTATTGATTCATATATAGGCGTTGGACCTTATAAGTGCTGTATAAAGGTGTATTTTACCTGGTATGAATGTAGGCGTACCCGGTACTGTGAGCGCACGGGGTGTGTATATATGCGGGTGTATGGGACCAGGTAAAGCGTGAACAATAGCACTGTTAGTTTTGTTCAGCATAATGAAATGTTAAGTGCTAGCATTACTGCTTAAATACTATATATAACTAGTTCAGATATAGATTATATTGTCTTAATCAATAATTGTAATTAAATAGTATACCAGTATAATACTATC